ATTTTTAACACAAACAAAAACAAGTGATCAAAGCCAAGATCAAATTATCAGTTTTGCTATATATATTTCAATGTTTTTTTATTATTCTTCCAACTGACATTTTACCTTGAAGACAAATGCAGCAACCACCGAACTTATCATCCAAATCGTATATCACATTTCCTCAAAACTTAGTTAACGAAAGAATACTTTTGTAATTAGACTGAAATGATTATTTTCTGGTTAATAGGTTCTCTCCACTCCCACTAGTCGGATCAATGGCTCCAATGCCACTAACTAGTCTACAAACCTATTTATTCTATCTTTTCTTTGGTCTATACAAACATGGAACTGTTCTCGGACTCCTTTCTCAACCTACAATCTATATTCAAAAAACATACAAAAACAAACAAGAGGAAAGATCCCAACACTAAAATCCAGACGAATCTTTTGAAAATCAGATGAGAGTTACTGATTCCGATAAACTCGTCTTTGGTACTTTCTTCTCCAGCATTGAGGTTCCTTTGAAGATTGTAAGCTGCACTTCCCTTTGGTACTTATGCAACTGCAAAAAAAAAAACAAAAGTAATTGCTTGTTACCAAATTGGATTAATCAACGCTTCCTAAACCAAACCTAAATGATGCATGAATCTGTCCAAACTAGTATTTATTTTACCCATTTGTGTTGTGAATCGTAACCTAATAATGATCCGAAAAGAAAAATCTCACTTACTTGCTGTTCAGTCATCTTCGTAAAGCCAAACTTCTTTGTCCATATAGACTCCGCTTCTTCAGCTGCTGGAAGGACCAGGTTCTCGACATTTAGAGAAGAAAGAAGATTCTCCACACACGCAAACAAGCCTTGGAAGTAGCCCTAGAGACCATTAACACAATAATGTAAGTTGTTTCATGGGTCAAAAAAAGAAGAAATTATGGGATGTATAGAAGCTTTACCCTTCCTTGGTACTCTCGGCTTGTGGCTACCATAGGAATTTCAGCAACTTGCTGACCAAAAATTCTCAGCAGCGCAGCCGAAACAACAAGAGAACTAAACACGCATCATAAGAAAAGCATTTAGCATAGAAGATAAACAAGTCGTAAGAGAAATTTCAGAAATAGATAGAAAGAGAGCATGCATCAACAGCAGCAAACATACTTTACAATCAGGACCAAACAGTACATTCCTCCAAATTCCTGGCCAGATATATTTCTCCTGCAAATATATCATAACAATTACAAGGCAAATCCAACCACTTCAAAACATATTGTATTGAAGTTTATCACGTCATAGCTTACCCATACACCATGACAGGAATGAGATCACGGCCAGACTTTGCAACAATGGGATCAAAACACTCCTAGAAGATTAAACAGGCAAGAATTAGGCTGCATGTTTGTTATACATATTTCAGTAGTAAAACCAAAAGATAATCGAAACAGATCTGAATTCAGTATATACCCTGAAGATAACAGCCGCTCGTGAAAGCAAGGGTAGATGCTCTGGGTACCGACTTTTTCCACTAAGTATTCTCCATTGGACTGTATCCCCATTCTCAGTAAATATTCCTTTTTCTCTGTCTTTTCTGCAAATTAAGTCTAACAAAGGTGTAGGAATAGTTTGTGGCCCACAGGAAACAGAACTCTGAAGTGCCGTGTGAATCCTGCTGCAGTCGCTACAGCAGAACCATTTGTCCTGCGGGATTTCCTGCAGCATTCAGGGAAGAAGTTCAGAAAAGTTGAAATGACCTCGTGAACACAATGAAGGAGCCAGCCCTACACAACTTACTTTTAAATCACAGAGCCCATTCTCTCTCAGGCAACCAACATGGTACTCTTTCTCGCACTTCAAAAAAGAAGAAGAAGAGGACAATCAGAAAAGACTGAGCTGGTAATGAATAGAGTTGAATAAAAGAGATCAGAAATCAAGAGTACCTGGTCACAGAGAATAACAGTCCTATCATCAAATTTTCCAATGCTAAAATCATGGGACCTATCAACAATAAAACGAGAGTGAAACACAGTAAGCCGTAAGCACCACAGGGAGACAATGTATATATATAGAAAGGGGCACTTTAATGTGCCTCACAACAACAACAAAAAAGCAATAATCCACATGAAGATTCCACATCATGCACAAATCAGAACTGCCTATTGCAGTGGCTTGCAAATTTTTCAAAACTATTGAAATCCATACGAGAAAGTAGTTACGCAACCAACCTGCAGAACACACAGCCACCAATTTCGCTTTCTGGAGCTTTAACGACTCTTGTCAGCCTTATAACTATAGGCTTAGAGCTTCCAGAAGGATTAGTAGCAGTAGGCTTTTTACTAGATATAGGTCCATCATTGCAGCTCGAACAGTACCATGTACCTTCAGGCATAGACTGAAATTTCAAACAAGCTGCATATGAAAACACACATGGAGGATCAGAACCAGAGAGTAAAATGAGAGCTGATATCTACGCAATGTTATTCCCAAAATCATTACACTAACTAAAACTTAAACTCATAAGAAAATGATATACGAAAATTATTAGAAAGTCAAGCTTCATAATGATTGAGGAAACCATTTTGAATCAGTTTGAAATCTGAAAGTTGCAGGTTTAATGTAGTGAAGTACACGAGGAAGCGGTATACTAGCCTACCTGTATGAAATGCTTGAGGACATCCAGCACAAAATAGCAAACCTCCACCATCCCCACAAATAGAACACATGTCGTCACTGTCACCAGTTGTAATGACATGTCCATTAGCCAGTGACATGGCGATATCATGCAATGACAATCCGGAAGAGATGTAGATATGATGATAACTGCAAAAGAAACAGAAACTTCAGATACACATTCCAACATTAGGGAAAACAGCATATTTATTGAATGACTCACGGTTGTCGTCTACCAGCCATTCCAGCATGCGCTTCAAATTGCGAAGGACTTATCTGTTATAAATATATACAAAAAATAAGTAAAACTACAACCGAAGATCAAACTGAGACTGATGGATAATCCACATAATCACTGCATCCACCATTTACCTCTCTGCTGCAGCAGCTACATACTATACCACTTCCTTGCTTGTAACCCTCTAGTAGTTTCTGCAGGGGAAAAAAAATGTTAACAAAACTAAACTTCATTTAAAATTCCAGTGAAAATAAGCAGAACAAGTCATTTGTCTGCAATAACAAACCTGCGTTTTTACATAGTAAGCCAATTCAGTCCCGTCCGGAAGCCCATTAGGCAAAAACAGCAACCGATGTAAATCATTGTCCCTGTAAACATAGGATTGTATCTTTTCATCAACACCGTATTGCATTTCAAACGCGGACAGAAAAAAACACAAGTAATGAGATTGATAAGAAAAGCAACACAAACCTCTTCCTATTGCTTCCTTCAGAAGCTTTCTTATGGCAACCCGTACCAGATACACGAGAAGTAATCCTACAGTATTAGCGACCAAATATTTTTCCAAAGCTCAATATTCTCCATAAGGACCATAAGTAACGTTTCGATTACTACAGTAATTAAATGAAAATATCAAAGACGCATACTTCTTTGCTATCCGCTTTGGCTCATATAATGTGTCATTTGCATATGTTTTCTCTCGAAAATAATCGTTCTCCAGAGAGCATGGAGTAAGGCTCTGACACTCATCAAGAGATTGACCAGGACCAAGACCAAGATAACTGCAGAATTCACAGATATCACTTTCAGATAATAACACAACATTAACCAAAATTTATATAAAACGGAACAGGTAAGTCACTACAGGGTCCAAGTATCACTATCATCTCCAAATAAAATCCCCAGCTACTGATCAAGTAATAAGCCACGAGTAGGAGATGATAGGACCTGTCATGAGAATGATCCAGGATATGGTTCCTGTCAGACATGCTATCGTTCTGTTGGAAACATGCTGCAGGAAAAAACAACATATCAGGCTCAGAACTACTCTTCAAAGAGCAAATGATTGCGAAAAAAACATAGATGCACCAACAATCTAAACACCTGGCCATCACCTTTCCAAGCTTTTAAGCCCTCCTCACTCAAAGCAGAACCAGTTACATTCCTTATCACTTCCTCGAGAACATCACGAGGAGCAGTCTTCAGTTCCTGAACTATGTTATAGACAGCCCTTCCATTCTCCAAAAATATGTGATTGTTAGGATGTCTAGTGTTCGCACCAGCATGCTGCTCAAACTCATACGCACTTAAAACCTTTACGCATAACAAAGTATCACATCGT